TTATGCATAAATTGTTTGTAAATAATGCATGACGATGGTGATCTGCATTTTTTGCATTGCATTCTGTTGTAGATGAAAGCGCAAAATGGTAAAATCAAGGGGAAGCAACTGGTGTATTATAGAACTTATAGGATGATTATTTTATATAAAGACTAAAGTCTTCTTTTTCAAAGTTAATATGTAGCTCTGTTCAGGGAGGTGTTTTAATTTGAGCATTAGTTTGGTTAAGGAGGATAAAGTATTAGTCTAAGACATATGGGTAATTGAAGGATTGCTTACTAAAATTTATGACATAATGATACTGATGACATAATTATACTAAGAATGGGGTAACTGTAATTAGATGCAAAGAGCTTCAATAATGTGTAGTCATACTAACATCAAAAGGACATTTTCTATGAACATCATTTTGAAACTTATTGTCCAAAATTGGGACTTTTAAAAACTTCAAAGAAAATTTGATTGTGGAGCCCAATTATAAGATTTATGTCATTATAATTAACAGAAACTTCAAGAAAACATGATGAAAAAGCAACTGATGAAGAAGCACCAGTCTAAATAAGGGGAGGATCCAAGCATAACAGGAAGACAGGAGCGGATCTAAGATTTTATTGGACATTATTTGTATAGCTGACAGTAGAATTGTAAATACAATACTTATTTATTTTGTGTGCTAGGTGCTGAAAACATGCATTTACAGACATGTGATGGATCTACAATCTATTTTTAAGAGGAAATTTTGTTAAAAACACAGTTTTGTTGTCTTTTCCTGGGTATAAAACATGATATTAAAATTGGTGTTAAAAATATTAATTTTTATACTTTGAAAATACATGCATCTACTCATACGTTTATATGATAAAAAAAATAAAGAATTCTAATAAAGATGTATTTCTCTTTTGATGGACATCGTACAAATATATTTATGTTAATAACTATATATATTTATATGAAAACTTGATGCTAATAACTTGGATTTGATTAATTATTATCTTGAATGAATATTTTGAGTAATTAAGAAGAATATCTGATTTGGTATGAAACTTTTATAACATACTTTAGGAAATTGATAATTTATAAATGTAGTAGTAACTTGTAGGGAACTTTTGCAAATTTTCCATAAGGTCCAACAGTGAAACATTTGTATCTTGACGCTCAAATAGACACCTGCAAAAATCTATGTATATACCTCCAATACAGGTTAGCGGATGAGGCACGGGTTGTGTGACTGTGGTTTTACTGTAGTGAGATTGTCAATTACTGTCAGAGTCTAAAACTTCACAAATATTACGCAGCCAGACTTTTATTGTATTAATATGTACTTTGTATATGTATGTAAATTTTTCTGGTTATCTGTGATATGTAAAGTTTAATATTTTAATGGAGATATTAAATTTCAAACATTCAACTGCTTGTTAATTTTATTTTTATTCAGTTGATCATGGCAATAATTAGTTATTCAGACACCCTGCAAACTACCTTAAAAATATCTGACACAAACATATAATTTAAAATATATTTTTTCCTTAGAATAAATTAAAAAAATCGTATTTATATTAAAGTTACCTAATGCAAGTAATGGCATTACCTTACTTGCAATCTAAATAAAATTAGATGTTCCGAAACCGCTACCATGCACTTCCTTAGCAAAAGGACTGTAGCTCTCCTAAAAAATAATAATATTGACAGACCGGTTTCTAGTCGTCCATCTCAATTTTTTTCAGACCAGTGAGCTACGGATCTGCAGCTACCGCTTTTTGCTGCGTGAGAAGCTTTAGCAGATTTGGGGCATCTAATTTTGATATGTATGCCAACCAATGTACAAATTAATTATAAACAGCCAAAGTCTGAACTTGTTTGCGAAAAACAGACAAAATACCCATGTGTTAAAAGGTCTTTTATTCACAAAAGTACTTTACTCATAATATTGGATAGTATACTGGGAAATTTTCGCCCCGTTTTATTTTCGCCATGACATCGGTTTGGCCCGGCGAATTAAAAAAAGGGGGGCGTATTAAATGAATACATGTAGTATAATTTCTTAATCAAAATTGTAACTTGGCGAATTTAAAACGGGGCAAAATGGTTTTCAAGTGTTACAGGGGAAAATAACACTGTATACAGTAATAAGCACTTAGAAAATGCTTCATTTGATATGATCGTAAATGACATGGATTTGCAAAGGTGTGTTTAATTAAGATTAAGAGCATCTAGAGTTCCTGACAGAAAATGAGATAGCTGCAGAACTGTGGCGTTATGGTTTTACATAGAAGTCTTCGACCACAACAATTTATCGCTTGTAGAGGCGACTATATAGGGTTGATAGGAGGATAAAATACTGTATACAAATTGGTTTAAAAATGTGTCTGGAGTAGGGGGTGAAAGGTAGATGATTTACAAAAGTTAGAAAGTGCAATTCTCCCAAAAAATTTTGTTCCGTAAATTGCACATTTTTTTTTTTTTGCATTACGGGATACGGGATCTGTTGCATTGTAGTCAAAGAATAATATTTAAATTCATAACGCTACAATTCTACAGCCTATTTCACTGTGAGCCATAACCAGTAACTCAATTGTTTTTGAGGACTTTTGCAGGATCAGGCAAAAAGTGACCTAATGCAACCATTACTTCTTAAAGCTCATAGGTGTCAGAAGCAAATTGAATGGGGGGGGGGGGGCTTAACCAAAGAAAAAGGTAAATCTCAATTTTCAATGCCTATATAATGTCTATTTTTGTCCAAAAAAATGGAGGGGTTGGGGGGGGGCTAAGCCCCCTCCCCCCGGTTCCGACACCTATGGTGCTGTTATAATCATGAATTGCACATGCCCTTGAAGGGCCCTTTATTGATGAATAAATAAATATTAACCATAGACGACGGAAGAAATTGAAAAGGGGATCGACTGGGGTTGGGGGTAATCGAGCTAAACAAAGAAAAGGTTAGCCGAAATTTTCAATGTATTCTATCTTTGCAAAAAAAAAAACAATACAAAACAAAACAAGCAAACAAACAAACAAAACAAAAACACTATATGACCTCACAAATCACAATACACGTGACGTCACAATAGATATACCGTATACTTAGCGACAGTGAAGGGCGATTCTAGCACTATAACTTTCGCAATGCTGGAAATAGTAAGAAATACCGTGGTAAGTAATAACTTAATAATTGTCTATCTATGTACTTCATCTCATTGTCCATCCATGTGTACTTCGCTTAAGTGTCTAGCCATGTGTACTTAGCTAAATTGTCTATCCGTGTGTACTTTGCTTAAGTGTCTAGCCATGTGTACTTAGCTAAATTGTCTATATATCCGTGTGTACTTCGCTTAAGTGTCTAGCCATGTGTACTTAGCTAAATTGTCTATCCGTGTGTACTTTGCTTTAGTGTCTATCCATGTGTACTTAGCTGAATTGTCTATCTGTGTGAACGTAGCTTAAGTGTCTAGCCATGTGTACTTCGCTTAATTGTTAATCTGTGTGTAGTTAACTTATTTTCTTTCTGAGGGTAATTACTTTAATAGTCTTTTTGTGTCTGCCAAGCTTTATTGTCTATATTGGTCTGTTTTCTTAGCTTAATTGTCTGTCTAGCTGAACTTAATTGTTTGTCCGTCTGAATTAGCTTAATTGTCTATCTGCGTGCACATTACTTTATTGTCTATCTTTGTGTATACTTAACTGAAATTGTCTCTCTGTGTATACATAATTTGATTTTCTAGCCTTGATTACTTTGCTTAATTGTTAATATGTGTGTACTTAGCTTATTAGTCTAGCTGTGTGGGTTTGTTCCCATCTCGCCTTAACTGTAATATTTTGCATTCCCATTTCGCCTTAGTAAGTTCTCAGGTGAATTAAGGTGATGAAGATTTTTATATATTTAGAATAAAGTATTTTTTGTATTACATGGATTATTTCATTTACAATATACATCTTATTAGATTCCCATTAATTGTTAAATTTAATCTAATTTTCAGCATTTAAATTTTTATATCAATCTAGTAATAATGTTTACAAATACTAAATTCCCATTTCGCCTTAGTACTTTTGGACTTTTTCTTACCTCTAATTCACAGTTAAGGCGAAATGGGAACACACCGCTGTGTGTACTGAGCTTAATTTTCAATCTTTTTGTACATATACTTAGCCTAATTGTACAGCCGTGTGTACATACTCAGCTAAAATGTATACAGTAGACCTTCAGATATTCGGACGCCAGATATCCGGATGCTTCAGTCTCCGGACGAATTTTCATCGGAACAGAACTTTTTAATGTTATATTGTCTTGTTTGATTGTTAATTCAGATATTCGGATGCTTCACGAATACGGACAAATTGACAAGGAACCAAGGCGTCTGGATAAATGAGGTTCCACTGTAGCTGTATGTCCATACTTAGCTTTATTGTCTATCTAAGTCTACTTAGCTTAATTGAATAGCTGCATGTGTGTATATACGTAGCTTAATTGTCTATCTGTGTACCAAGCTTAAATGTCTATCTAAGTGTACTTAAATAATTATCTATCTGCGTGTATACCTAGCTTAGCTCAATTGTTCATCTGTCTGTACTTTGCTTATTTGATTTTCTGTGTGTACTAAAAAAGGTAAATCCCAATTTTCAATTCCAATATTATGTCTTGTTTTGCAAAAAAAGTTGAGGTTAGCCCCCCCACCCCCTACGCTTCCGACGCCTATGGTGCTGTAATAATCATGAATTTTACATGCCCTTTGAGGGGCCCTTGATTGATGAATAAAGAAATATTAACCACACACACGGCGGAATACTAAGTCAATTGAAAAGGGGAGAGGGTAGGGAATGGGGATGGTCAAGCTAAACCAAGAAAAGGTAAGCCAAATTTCGAATTATCTCATCGTCTCAAACCACGGTCCGGAGTCTGCATATAGCTCTCTCCAGAATGGGAGAGGATCGTGCATTTTTGCCGTGGTTTGCGACGATGAACATTGTATGACCTCACAATACACATGACGTCACAATAGGTATACCGTATACTTAGCGACAGTGAAGGGTGATTTTAGCACTATAACTTTCGCAATGCTGGAAATAGTAAGAAAGACCGTGGTAAGTAGTAGCTTAATTGTCTATCTATGTACTTCATCTAATTGTCCATCCGTGAGTACTTTGCTTAAGTGTCTAGCCATGTGTTCTTAGCTAAATTGTCTCTCTGTGTGTACATAGCTTTATTGTCTAGCCGTGTGTACTTCGCTTAATTGTTTATCTGTGTGTATACTAAGCTTAATATCCCTTTAAAGGGGGGGGGGGCTGCTGTGAGTACTTGTCTGCGTGCATTTGTCTATATAATTGTACCTAGCTTAATTTCCTATAAATGTGTACATAGTTTAGCTTAATTCTCTAGCTATATGTACCTAGCTGAGCTTAATTATCTAGCTATGTGTATACCTAGTTTAGCTTAATTGTTTAGCCACATGTCTGTGTATACCTAGCTTAGCTTAATTGTCTATCTATGTGTAGCTAGCTTATTGTCCGTCTGTCTGTACTGTGCTAATGTCTTTCTGTTTGTACTTGGTTAGATTTAGAAGCGCCTAATCTTTTCGTTCTGTACATGGTACATGTAGTGTAACAGATCTAGATATGATTTATAATACATGTATATCCTTTTTTATGAATCAGAGGATGGAGGGATTATGGATTCCAATTTGAAGTTGGTGTCAGAGTTTAGGCCTCTCAAACATTAATTGCATTAACGTACTACGTCCTAACGTAAAATTTACACTTGATCCCTAAATCATCAAAGTCAAGTCATACCGAAAATTAGCTCAATAAGCGTTTAATAAAAAATTGCGGAAAATTCTTAAAAAGTAAAAAAGCCCCAATTCCATCAAAAATCACTGAAAAGTTGTGTACGGTTGAACGTATGTTGTAAAGTGGCATAGTTTAATTATATTTTCCTTTTTTCAGTTAGTGGAAGAAAAGAACATCCTAATTTTTGAGGCAGTTCTTGCAGAACTGATGCAAGTGATGGAAGTGGTAATATTTCATTCTGCTTATTATTTGCCCTTTTTACCCAACGCAACAAGACCAATTTCTTCTTAGAAAGTCTCTAACCCTGCGCAATTCGACACCCTGTCTATTCTGAACATGTCAGATTAGAGAGATTTCACTGTATATTGTTTTAAGTGTATGTTGCTAGTCATAATCAAATTATATATATTGTATAATGTAATTACATGTACTTATACATGTATTGTTTATCAAGACAATCAACATTTTTTTGTATTATTATTTCTTATCTGAAGCATGTGTTATTATTATTTTTTCTTTCTGAATTAGATAAAAAATGAAACAAGCATGAAGGCTGAATATATGCACGAAGAGCAAATGATGACATGGGCAAAGGTTTGTGAATAATCATTGAGTATTATACATTTATTGACTGAGTTCGAGGGCAACATGCATTTTGTCGGACCCAAGAACCAAACTGCTCTGCCTGAGGCCGTTAGGCCGAAGGCATGCAATAGTTTGGTGCTACGATGGACATCAGTTTTGTCCGAAAACTCTGTCAATAAATGTTTTGTTATACCTTTCATTTTATTGTATATTTTTTGACATACATGTATTTTGTACTATATTACGTAATGTTACATTAGATCTGTCACTGTTTAAATCAAAGAATGAAAATGAGATTAAGCTCCGCCCATTCTGTCACGTAAGCGGTCCAACATCTCTCCGAGCGGTCTAACATCTCACTCAGCGGTCCAACATCGATTTTTTTATGCCCGCTCAGCAAAACATTAAAAATGTTAGACTTTTTCTGTATAGATTTGTATAGGAACAATTTTTTAAAGGTATAACAAATTATAATATTCGTTTTACTTCCTAATTTCAAACTATTTTTTTATTTAAATAAATCAAATAATCTTCATATAGAAACCATGTATATCATCTCTTGTCTTATATTTTAGGATTTAATATTGGAAATCTTTGAAGAGGAAAAAGAGAAATGTCCCATTGATAATATAAATGAAATTTTAGGAAATTTGTCAGAGATATTGTTGGTACGTATAAACAAAGGAATTTAAAGTTAATTTGTGATTTTTCTAAATAATCATGTTTTGTTATGATTAATTGTCCATTGCTTTCCCAGAAGAAGAAAAAAGATGCATTTAAAATGGTGCCAATGCAACTCCGAGAAAGAGCATTAGTAAGTAAAATATGTATTTATACCAATATTTAAAACTTAACTGTTTAATTAAATGAATCAGGAGTGAAATTTGTTTTACAATTTAAGAACTCTTTATGGAAAAATTCCTTTTTTCACTTTTTCATTTTCTCTATTTTATTTGTAAAATGTGAACTTCAACATTTATAGTTAATTTAATTTTTAAATTCGGGACCAGTTTTTCTTTAGGATTCTTGTAATTAATAAGATGTTTCATCTGAATCTATATTCCACAGTGAAACAGTTGAAACAGTATTCCAGGGAACATAAATATTCAAATAAATAGGGCTATATGTAATTAAAAGGTTAAATATTGAAGAAAACAAAAGAAAATCACTTTTACTTTTGATAGGCGGAAGTAAAATACCTCAAGTTGTGTGTTTTTATCAATAAATTCATGTTATAAAAGAATTAAAAGATTCAAAGAGCAAGTAATGATTAACAAAGCACAACAATTAACATATGCAACATAGAGAAACTTTGTTTTCAATATTTTTTTTTCAATTAATCAGAATATTGTACAAATTTAAAATGTACATCAACTGAAACCAAAATATAACATGTATATAACATATACATGTAGCACCATTATTTAAAAGGGGGAGCCCCATGCGCGGATTTAGAGGGTGGATGGGTCCGGAAAAACCCCTCCCCCCTCCCAATTGAATTTGCAAAGTTTTAAATGCATATAGTTAACCAAACAAAAGTGACTTTTGATTATCCCTCCTAGAAATCACAGACCTATATGAAAATGGTATGAAAAGTGATAGGTATATGAAGCTTCAAGGTCAAGATGTAGTAAAGAGAGGTGCCTACAAATTTTGTAGTTTAAAAATGTACCATTTTGTACCAAATGTCTGATCTAGTCAATTTTTCAAGTTATTTTTAGCTAATCAAAACTCACTTTCAGGAAAATGTTTTTCTTTGCCATTCAACAGGAACCCAATAAATAAAAACAAAAAATAAAATTTAATGAGAAAAGTATTAAAAACTTTTAACTGTTTAATTCAAAACTGTTTCTTTTATAATATCAAAATTGAATATTAGTTAGATAAAAATGAATTTTTCCCTAACAAGGTGTCTAAGACAGATAATTTTTTTCTATCAAGCTGTGTAACTTTTTTTTTGGCTAGATGCTGCTTCAACAAGTTCAGTTTATTTTTAAAAAAGAGCTTCTCTGAGTAGAATTCTCGGCAGTTTTTTGAACAAAAATGTATATTCGTTTCTTTATTAAATGCATACAAACATCTTTTTAATAATCATAGAAAGAATTGACCCAGAGATAGAAACTTTTCAAAAACATATATAAAAATGTATTTTTTTACCAAAGGAATTTTGCCAATTTTCAAGATAATTTTTAGCAAATCAAAACGTAAATTTCAGGAAAATGTTTTTTTTTTAATTTTACAGGAACCCAATAAATAAAAAAAAAATTAAAATTTAATGATATATTTCGATAAAATTTTCACTTTTCAAGTACGCCCAGAATCATGCCATTTTTCTAGAGAATGTTTAAAAAAAAGCGCCCTTTTTGTTGTTTTTTTATAATATCAAAATTGAATATTACTTAGATAAAATTTATTTTTTCCCTTTACAAGCTGTCTAAGACACATAATAATTTTTTTTTCTTATCAAGCTGTTTAACTTCTTTTGGCTAGATGCTGCTTCAACAAGTTCAAATTAGATTTAAAAAAGAGCTACAAAAACGAATAGAATTGCGGCAGTTCCTTGTGAACAAAATGATGGTAACTATGGTTATTTTTATTACCCTTAAAACACCTTTGTATATAAAGAAAGCTAAAGTTATTGTACCAAATACATAATAAAATCCATATATAAATATCTTAAATTTTTTTTTCAAGAGGAATTTTGTCCAACTTTATCTTAAGATATTTGTATTATTAATCTCAATTCAAAACGTAAAATTCATTTTATTTTTTTTTTATTTTGGCAGATAGAGGTTGTAAAAAGTAAACAGATCCCTGATGATTGTATTGAGAATGCTGCTGGAGAGGTTGTAAAAAGTAAACAGAACCCTGATGATTGTATTGAGAATGCTGCTGGAGAGGTTGTAAAAAGTAAACAGATCCCTGCTGATTGTATTGAGAATGCTGCTGGAGAGGTTGTAAAAAGTAAACAGATCCCTGATGACTGTATTGAGAATGCTGCTGGAGAAATTGTAAAAAGTAAACAGATCCCTGCTGATTGTATTGAGAATGCTGCTGGAGAGGTTGTAAAAAGTAAACAGATCCCTGAGGACTGGATTCAGAATGTTGCTGGAGAGGTTGTAAAAAGTAAACAGATCCCTGATGACTGTATTGAGAATGCTGCTGGAGAGATTGTAAAAAGTAAACAGAACCCTGGTGATTGTATTGAGAATGCTGCTGGAGAGGTTGTGAAAAGTAAACAGATCCGTGATGATTGTATTGAGAATGCTGCTGGAGAGATTGTAAAAAGTAAACAGATCCGTGATGATTGTATTGAGAATGCTGCTGGAGAGATTGTAAAAAGTAAACAGATCCCTGATGATTGTATTGAGAATGCTGCTGGAGAGGTTGTGAAAAGTAAACAGAACCCTGATGATTGTATTGAGAATGCTGCTGGAGAGGTTGTAAAAAGTAAACTGAACCCTGATGATTGTATTGGGAATGCTGCTGGAGAGGTTGTAAAAAGTAAACAGAACCCTGGTGATTGTATTGAGAATGCTGCTGGAGAGGTTGTAAAAAGTAAACAAAACCCTGATGACTGTATTGAGAATGCTGCTGGAGAGGTTGTAAAAAGTAAACAGATCCCTGATGATTGTATTGAGAATGCTGCTGGAGAGGTTGTGAAAAGTAAACAGAACCCTGATGATTGTATTGAGAATGCTGCTGGAGAGGTTGTAAAAAGTAAACAGATCCCTGATGATTGTATTGAGAATGCTGCTGGAGAGATTGTAAAAAGTAAACAGAACCCTAAAAAGTATGGGCAAAATCCCTGATGATTGTATTGAGAATGCTGCTGGAGAGGTTGTGAAAAGTAAACAGATCCGTGATGATTGTATTGAGAATGCTGCTGGAGAGATTGTAAAAAGTAAACAGATCCGAGATGATTGTATTGAGAATGCTGCTGGAGAGATTGTAAAAATAAACAGAACCCTGATGATTGTATTGAGAATGCTGCTGGAGAGGTTGTAAAAAGTAAACAGAACCCTGATGATTGTATTGAGAATGCTGCTGGAGAGGTTGTGAAAAAAACAGATCCCTGATGATTGTATTGAGAATGCTGCTGGAGAGGTTGTGAAAAGTAAACAGAACCCTGATCATTGTATTGAGAATGCTGCTGGAGAGGTTGTGAAAAGTAAACAGAACCCTGATGATTGTATTGAGAATGCTGCTGGAGAGGTTGTAAAAAGTAAACAGAACCCTGATGACTGTATTGAGAATGCTGCTGGAGAGGTTGTAAAAAGTAAACAGATCCCTGATGATTGTATTGAGAATGCTGCTGGAGAGATTGTAAAAAGTAAAAAGATACTTGATGAGTGTATTGAGAATGCTGCTGGAGAGATTGTAAAAAAAGTACGAAAACAGATCCCCTTGTGATGATTGTATTGAGAATGCTGCTGGAGAGGTTGTGAAAAAGTAAACAGAACCCTGATGATTGTATTGAGAATGCTGCTGGAGAGGTTGTGAAAAGTAAACAGAACCCTGATGATTGTATTGAGAATGCTGCTGGAGAGATTGTAAAAAGTAAACAGAACCCTGATGATTGTATTGAGAATGCTGCTAGAGTGGTTGTAAAAAGTAAACAGATCCCTGATGATTGTATTGAGAATGCTGCTGGAGAGGTTGTAAAAAGTAAACAGATCCCTGATGATTGTATTGAGAATGCTGCTGGAGAGGTTGTGAAAAGTAAACAGAACCCTGATGATTGTATTGAGAATGCTGCTGGAGAGGTTGTGAAAAGTAAACAGAACCCTGATGATTGTATTGAGAATGCTGCTGGAGAGGTTGTAAAAAGTAAACAGAACCCTGATGATTGTATTGAGAATGCTGCTGGAGAGGTTGTAAAAAGTAAACAGATCCCTGATGATTGTATTGAGAATGCTGCTGGAGAGGTTGTGAAAAGTAAACAGAACCCTGATGATTGTATTGAGAATGCTGCTGGAGAGGTTGTGAAAAGTAAACAGATCCCTGATGATTGTATTGAGAATGCTGCTGGAGAGGTTGTGAAAAGTAAACAGAACCCCGATGATTGTATTGAGAATGCTGCTGGAGAGGTTGTAAAAAGTAAACAGATCCCTGATGATTGTATTGAGAATGCTGCTGGAGAGGTTGTAAAAAGTAAACAGAACCCTGATGATTGTATTGAGAATGCTGCTGGAGAGGTTGTAAAAAGTAAACAGAACCCTGATGATTGTACTGAGAATGCTGCTGGAGAGGTTGTAAAAAGTAAACAGATCCCTGATGATTGTATTGAGAATGCTGCTGGAGAGGTTGTAAAAAGTAAACAGATCCCTGATGATTGTATTGAGAATGCTGCTGGAAAGGTTGTAAAAAGTAAACAGAACCCTGGATTGTATTCAGAATGCTGCTGAGAGAGGTTGTGAAAAGTAAACAGAACCCTGATGATTGTATTGAGAATGCTGCTGGAGAGGTTGTGAAAAGTAAACAGAACCCTGATGATTGTATTGAGAATGCTGCTGGAGAGGTTGTAAAAAGTAAACAGATCCCTGATGATTGTATTGAGAATGCTGCTGGAGAGATTGTAAAAAGTAAACAGATCCCCGATGATTGTATTGAGAATACTGCTGGAGAGGTTTTGAAAAGTAAACAGAACCCTGATGATTGTATTGAGAATGCTGCTGGAGAGGTTGTAAAAAGTAAACAGATCCCTGATGATTGTATTGAGAATGCTGCTGGAGAGGTTGTAAAAAGTAAACAGAACCCTGATGATTGTATTGAGAATGCTGCTGGAGAGGTTGTAAAAAGTAAACAGATCCCTGATGACTGTATTGAGAATGCTGCTGGAGAGGTTGTAAAAAGTAAACAGATCCCTGATGACTGTATTGAGAATGCTGCTGGAGAGGTTGTGAAAAGTAAACAGAACCCTGATGATTGTATTGAGAATGCTGCTGGAGAGGTTGTGAAAAGTAAACAGAACCCTGATGATTGTATTGAGAATGCTGCTGGAGAGATTGTAAAAAGTAAACAGAACCCTGATGACTGTATTGAGAATGCTGCTGGAGAGGTTGTAAAAAGTAAACAGATCCCTTATGATTGTATTGAGAATGCTGCTGGAGAGGTTGTGAAAAATAAACAGAACCCTGATGATTGTATTGAGAATGCTGCTGGAGAGGTTGTGAAAAGTAAACAGATCCCCGATGATTGTATTGAGAATGCTGCTGGAGAGGTTGTAAAAAGTAAACAGAACCCCGATGATTGTATTGAGAATGCTGCTGGAGAGATTGTAAAAAGTAAACAGAACCCAGATGATTGTATTGAGAATGCTGCTGGAGAGGTTGTAAAAAGTAAACAGAACCCCGATGATTGTATTGAGAATGCTGCTGGAGAGGTTGTGAAAAGTAAACAGATCCCTGATGACTGTATTGAGAATGCTGCTGGAGAGGTTGTAAAAAGTAAACAGATCCCTGATGATTGTATTCAGAATGCTGCGAGAGTGGTTGTGAAAAGTAAACAGAACCCTGATGATTGTATTGAGAATGCTGCTGGAGAGGTTGTAAAAAGTAAACAGAACCCTGATGATTGTATTGAGAATGCTGCTGGAGAGGTTCTGAAAAATAAACAGATCCCTGAGGACTGGATTCAGAATGCTGCTGGAGAGGTTGTAAAAAGTAAACAGAACCCTGATGATTGTATTGAGAATGCTGCTGGAGAGGTTGTAAAAAGTAAACAGATCCCTGAGGACTGGATTCAGAATGCTGCTGGAGAGGTTGTAAAAAGTAAACAGATCCCTGATGATTGTATTGAGAATGCTGCTGGAGAGGTTGTTAAAAGTAAACAGATCCCTGATGATTGTATTGAGAATGCTGCTGGAGAGGTTGTAAAAAGTAAACAGAACCCTGATGATTGTATTGAGAATGCTGCTCGAGTGGTTGTAAAAAGTAAACAGATCCCTGAGGACTGGATTCAGAATGTTGCTGGAGAGATTCTGAAAAGTAAACAGATCCCTGATGATTGTATTGAGAATGCTGCTGGAGAGGTTGTAAAAAGTAAACAGATCCCTGAGAACTGGATTCAGAATGTTGCTGAAGAGGTTCTGAAAAGTAAACAGATCCCTGAGGACTGGATTCAGAATGTTGCTGGAGAGGTTGTGAAAAGTAACCAGATCTGTTACCAGTCTTTACAGGAGGTTATAGACGTGACCCCAGCTGTGTGTCCTGTCTATCTACATCAACCAGGTGAGAATTACCTACCAAAAATTTAGAGATCAAAGGTCATTATTTTAATGTAGATTATTCTTGATTATTTTGTAATATTTTTTCATATTTATATTTTTATATTTAGATGTGACCGACTCCTTGATGAGTTTCTTCTTAGCCTTGTTTCAGGGACTTCGGGTTCAGATGGGCATGGTCTTCCCAGACCAAACTAAACAGACATCTATGACCCTCTGTACACAGTGTGTATCTATATCATATATACCAAACATAGCCTAGTTTAAATTATCACAACTTCTATTTAGAAATATTTTGTTATATTTGTGTGGGTTTGTGTGTAATTTCGCATGTCTTAATATTTATGTAATTTTATTTGAATGTTTCTTTTAAATGCCCTTTATTACTTAATATTGTTCTGAATTGTGAGTAAATTAAAAATCTTTCAGAAAGCAGATAGCAGAAAGTATATGTCATGAAAGCGCAGCTGCCCATAGAGTTGTAGAGAAGTAAGAACATATTTATATATATTGAAGTTTATAATATTATTAGAAACAAATCACTTGATGAAGTCTTATGTAAAACTTTTTGTTTTGCAGGTTTCTTAAGATTTTTGAACTTATTGTGCAAGAGCCTGGGATAGATTTCAAAGCATTTTTACCAAATTTGATATCGATGTGTATGGATCAGATTTATCCAATAATAGCACAGGTAAACTATCTTTATAATGGGAAGAAAAAGGAGAAAATTTGTAATAGCCAGAAATGTTTAATATTCATAGGAATCTTTATACTTTTCCTCACATCATTTACAAAGTCATCATTTGTAATACATGTACATGTGTAATTTTTATGTGTCTTCGTATCTTTTTCAACAATATTATGTTTCATTGTTACTGTTTAAACTTTAAAGTAATTTCAAAATTTGACTATGTGAAAATTAGACGATTTTGGTTCATCTATGTTTTTTTTTCAAGTAATATGAGTTTTTATATTCAATATTCAGTATTTTAAAACTTCTTATTATAGCGTCCATCGCCTGGCATTAAAGCTAGTCTGTATAGATTAGTCCATGAGTTAATGATGAACAACGGGAGATATTTCTTCAAGGGCAGTGTACTCAAAAAATTAAGTGTACAGCACACTGCTCAGAATGACAACGGAGAGATTCAGAAGGCACAGGAGGTCAAAGACAGTGCTCTGAAGAAATTAAGTGTACAGCACACTACTCAGAATGAAAACCGAGAGATTCAGAAGGCACAGGAGGTCAAAGGCAGTGCACTGAAGACATTAAGTGTACAGCACACTCCTCAGAATGAAAATCGAGAGATTCAGAATGCACAGGAGTCTACTGCCATTATGCAGGTAAAGGAATTACAGGCTTCTTCATTTTTTTTACCTCTACTTGTCAGAGACCAGAAGAGCTTATGCTATATTAGTAAGGTATCCGTCGTCTGTTCTATTGTCTGTCCATCTGTCTGTAAACAATGTGTTAGTGGGTTTAAGTGTTTTAAAATGTCCCTGGAATTATAATTCTTTCATTATTCTTTCAACCTGAAGAAAACCTGAATGCTCAGTTAAAGTTACTGTTTCTTTTTTTCTTTTTAGGAGGAAAAGGAAGAGAAGATGAAACCGGTTCAATTGATGACAAAGCCTAAAAAATTAGGAGTATGTGTTTATAATATAGATACCTTAACTTTGTCAAGCTATAAATGATTAAAAATGTTAACATCGTCACATTCTTATTTGGAACAAAGATGACTTTTCCCCCAAACTTTTGAGGATTCCATAAAAAAAATCGATGGAAACTTAAGAGAATTTAGAGTTTTTAGACACCAAAACCCTTCCAAAGGCAAAGAACTGCCATTTTCATTGTTGTCAGAAATCAAAGTCACAAAATTTCTCCCATAACTAACCAATTAAAGAAGTTGATATAAATAGAAACTTTCCATTAATAGCATTTCATAAGAAAAAACAAAAAATGTTTAGATATTACAAACTAAATAAATTGTAGTCGTAAGTGTCTGTTTTAGATTGACCATCACATTATCATTTTAAAACCTGGATTGAAATTGATGTGTAATACATGATGCAACCATAGCTACCCTTAAGTTACATGTTCTTAATCCAAAAACGATGTTCTCTTAACTGATTAGTCTCCATAATGAAAAGCATCATTTTGCGCATCTGTAATTAGTGGAAAATATGAGTCGGAATTAAATGCGTTTTTATATCATATTTTACCATTTTTCTACCTTTCAGAGAATGAAGATATATTTAGATAATTGATCTTTAGAACATTTAGCTGTGTAAAAGGAATGATGATAATTTTTTGTTTTCTACTTTTCAGAGAATGAGAAGAGTAGCACACTGGTTGAGAAAGAATTTTTTTAGTTGTGGTGGAGGAAAATCCAGTTCTTAAAGTAAGTTAATATTACCTTTTCTGTGGCTTTCTCAATCAATTATTTACTCTTTATCTGTTCTCATTCAAAAATTGATAGTTGGATAATTACTTGCCAATTACTCGGCATTAAAAATAAGGCCAAGTAATAATATTTCATAAAATGAAGGTGTGACTATGCTCAAGAAATCTTAGAATTTCGACATTGTAATGGACAAAATATAAATTTTTAAAGCTATGTTGATTTTCATGGATAAATGAAAAGCTCGTTGTCTTCAACAATCCCTATTTACCAGCTTTATCTTCTTTGTGTGTGCCCCCTTTCTCTCTTTTATGCTTTAATTGTTTATGATACAGTTGTTTTCTTTTTCTTTTTCAGGTCTGAAAAAAGACGCCAAAACACCTTTATGAATTGTCATGTTTACTAAGTTAAAAATAATATATTTGGGACCCAGGAGGGGACACCCGAGCTATTTTTACAGGTTTTGATTTTTTACTTTCCCCATTTAAAACCACGAAATTGTAAATTCATCCATTATAGCTCCGTTGTCCTCTCCTGTCTAAATTCTTGTAAATATTTTCAATAATCTATGTAAAGAAAAAAAGATGTTATTACATGTAGTAGTGTAAAGTTTTGAATAAAAAACAGTTGTATTATAAAACTATCGAGTTTGATTTTTTTTGTTCAATTTTGTCTTTATTAATATATTTGAAATAGCTAGATGTAGCTTATGTCAAATTTATTTGTAAATTCTTTTCAATACTTTCCCAATCAATGAGGCTCGTGATTTTAATCCGGTTTCTGTGGTGCTAAGTGGATCAGTCTCTCTCTCTCTCTCTCTCTCTCTCTCTCTCTCTCTCTCTCTCTCTCTCTCTCTCTCTCTCTGTGTGTGTGTGAGAGGGTGTGTGTGTGTGTATGAGACCTAAGTTCTTGTCTAAGGGCACAACACACTACAAAAAATTTCCACAGCATGGCTTGAACCAGCGATTGCAACCTTTTGGTTACACAACAACCGGTTTTCTATAATAAATGAACTACAGTTTACTGCTCACATTCTTTTCGGGAAAGAATATTTATATAACTACTGCACAGTATTTCCTTCGCCGCGTTTTTTTTTCATTTTGTCCCCAAGGCATCTCATACATAACAGAGCTCCTCTTGCCAAATAAGTGGAACATTGCGTGTCCTGTGCGATATTCAGGATCGTTAACATTATAGTCAATTGATTCCCAACATTATCATTAGCAGTTTTATTTGTTAAAAGTGATTAGTGTCTTTTATCACCAATGCCACAATATAGAAGCTAAAATCATGGTGCATTTAGAAAGGTAGTTGGGAGGGGGGGGTGTTCAGGGTGCAGGAGAGCCATCACCATTTTTTCGGAAAGTTATTATATTTTTTTAAATTTAGACTTAAATATCTAATGAATTGCTGGTCCCCCACTAATGTATCTTAATCCCACACGATAACCGTACCTTAGCCTTAACGGAAAACCTGAAGTTAAAAGAAATCTTTTTTGTTGTGACTTCAAAATATTTTACAGCTGGTACATGTATTCTTCCAAAAAATGCATAAAATGAATCAGTCAAAACAACGAATATTCAAAAACAGCTCACAGACACAAAAGGGTCACATTATCGATAACATGTATGCATATTAGAACATAGAAATAGGAAAAAAGGTGACTCGACCCCATATTTAAAAAGAAAAAGTTGTAAAGAGGGTCCAGACTCCAAGTGCCTGTGAGAAAATGCCGCTAGCCCGGCCACTTTTCAAGAAATGTACTACAAAAGAACCAAGATTATTTTTTTTCTCTTTTTTATCAAAGCAACTAAAATTAGATTTTTAAAATTCCAAATATGTCTTTGATCCCCTATTTCAGATATCAATGTTCAACTCCCATGAGTACTTTCAGTACTTTGATCTCCTATTGCATTCAGCTACTAGTAGGACTTCAGCAAATGTAAAGAAGAAGGTGGCGAACCGTTAATTGCTATCATTTACATTTAATTAATGAATCATAAAATAAAACAATTATTGCTGGGGGGTTCAGTCAATATGATAATTTAGCGACCTTTGAAGTACAATATATACCTTAAATCGGGGTTTTTGAATTTCATTCTTCTCATGTAGCATAAAATCGAATTGACCATACACATGTAACAGCAATTTTGTTATATATACACATTTGTGGAATGAAGACAGTCCAAAATGTTATGGGAACTTTTACCAACTTTTTTTTTAAAAAAGTTTTCATATTCAAATAAAAAATAGTTTATTTTATTCAGAAATTTTGAATATGTTTAACATCATACGAGTGCTAGCGCTACGATATTTTTTTTATTCTAAATACTAGTAAGCCTAAGAATTTTAAACTGATGAAAATAAAATATCGGCTCAACCAAAATATAGGGTACGTGAACCATTTTTTTTTTTATTTTCGTTCAGGTATTCTTCATTTTAAAAAGTTGAGTAATATGAATTTTGACTTTGAAATGTGCCTCTTGTTGCATTGGTAACAAAATTGTAATAGCGAGTAGTCTTCAAATTTTCGGAGATAGTAATTCAGATTTATGCAATAAACTTAAATTTTTATGAGCTTTAAGAAATAAGCTAATATTATCATAACCAAAACAATCTATCAAATTACTACTAGTAAGTAATTGACGAAAAAAATAATTTATTATCAATTTTGAAAGGTACATTTTATTAACAACGTGAAACTAATCACTTGTGTTAATTCACGAAAAAAAATGCAGCAGGGAAATGAACTTATGTTATTTATTCATATAAACTTTCCAAATCGAATTCAATTTTGTTTTAATTTTTCACATATCATTAAAATAAAAAATCCCATGAACGTGTCTTTAAATATTTATTGTAAGAAAAATACTCATACTTTAACTGATTTTAGAATCGAGTCTTTAAATAGTAAAGAGACACTTATTTCTGACACAAGAAAATGCCACATCGATGGGGAAACGCTTAAATGATATGATTGGACAACTTATGATCAAACCAAATTTGTTTATTCCCCTATTTGTTAATTTCTGTGAAATTAAAGCTGGAGTATTTAGAACACTTTAAATTTTTCAGTTACCAGATGTTTTCTACAAGATTTCACATTCTTGTATTTCCTTGAACGAAGACAGTCCTTTTTTCAGCTAACAACAAATTATGGCCGTTCATGAAATTAAAAATACGATTCATTGTATTTTACCAAATATTTGGAATTTACAGCTTTTATGGCAGCAATATAAATTAACAACATAAATCAGGTGAGTGACATTTGTTGATTTAAACTGATCTTGAAAGGCAATGGCTGCTTAGTGAGTCGAGTGCTCACTTAATTTGAACATGTATATACGTGTACATGTAGGTACCAACTATTTTTGTTTTATTATTGAAATCGGGAAATCGTGGATTTTCGTTGACAAATGCTTATCACCTTTAAATTTATTAAAGGTGTGCGTCTTTTGCACGTGATATTAAAAACCGAGGTAACATTAGAAATCGAGACAGTTTGGCTGACCTTTAATTCTAACTAATTACAATGTCAAATTTTATAAATGATTTATAATATTATTTTTTTTTCATAATTTCAAAGTATAATAATATTTGCTTAAACAATTTGAAACTTTCTTTTAAAATAACGGCCGGTAATTTCCGTAAAGTTGAAAACATGTCGAAAATGCTTCTGCTGCCAACAATAGTCTGTATATTAACTCACTTGCATCAAAAACTTACATAGCACATGTTCACAATTTAAGCAATTTTTAATATCTTCATTTTAAACATTTATATACATATTTCACATTTGAAGAGATAATTTAAAGCCTTATTATGTGAAAAGAAATATAAAATTTAGCTAAGTAGGCATTTTAAAATTTTTATTTCATACAAAACATAACCACACTAAAAATGTTTTTTTTAAGTAAATTGATTTTCTCATATGTTTTCTATTTTGCTTTATTATTCTTCTTTCTTCATTTAAAGATTGGACCATATTTCCCGTTTTTCAGAGATCCTGTATTAAAAAGTAAAATTTTTTTCTTTTATGATTTTAAACTATTTTGCGTCTTTACCCTTCTTCTTGCTTAATTTACAGAATGGACCACATTCCCCGTCTATCAGAGATCCTGTATTTTGGTCTGTGTGCTAAGATTGGGACACCGACGGAAGTGACCATCAGAAGGGACTTGATGGACATGGACGACATGATAAAGGAAAATATACATACCGGTAAACATAAATGTAGAGGAAGACTAATGTTAAGCGGTAGTAGAAGAGAAGGATTCAGGTTTAAAACATCTGACTGGGATTACATGTTGTGGACGTGTGACCGTTATTTTTTGATAAATGACATTTCTCAGTTGAGGGATTATGTTCCATCAAATCTTGACATTGTTCTCATGGATGACACGGATACACCACCTGGATTTGTTAGACTACAGCTTCTTACACGTCCTAGATACGCTTGCTTTTCACTAGTTCCTTTAAATGATCGGGTTTACATTTCAAGCTTATTCTGGAGGCAGCTAGCCCTTAAAAACTCTTCTAGATCTATAAAGTTTCAGAATGTTCATGAACATGGTCCATGTTGCAGTGGTTACCTGGATGAATCTACTGAAGTTGACACGGCGCTTTGTTTTGCCTGCAAATATTGGCCACGTGGTACAAATCATTGGACCGAAAGATGCCTTAGACACAAATGGCCTCCTGCAAGTGTGCTTAAAGATATCTTAAACGATAATTACCACTGTGTAGCTATTGGAAGTAAAAGCTCTCCTATTGCATATACGCTAGATTGGAGGTTGTCCTTTTCTCTTGCCGAACAAAAACTAGTGTTCACTATGAATCATACACAGTTTATATGCTATGGACTCCTAAAAATATTTCTCAAAGACGTAATCAATAAGAACGTGGAAGAACCATTACTGTGTTCTTACTTCATGAAGACTACAATGTTCTGGTTAATACAGGTCGGACATATGAATTGGAGTCCTAACAATTTACTGGAATGCTTTTGGATGTGCTTTAAATACCTCGTTCAGAGTGTAAACAGTGGCAAATTTGCCAATTTCTTTATTCCACAGAACAATATGTTTATGAACAAGGTTATCGGCATTGCACGTGAGTCTTTATTAGATCAACTTAACCAGTATTACAGAATGGGCTTACCCTGCCTTCTGCTTAGTCCTACACTCAAATCTATACTAGAGCCAGCCCTCAGCCGTCCATGTAGTATTCAATTTACTGGAAATGTATGTTTCGAAATTGGATGTGCGTGTCAAGATTTGTGTGCAGTGGATAATCTAAAAGAAATTTTTGTAAATAAATATTTTTTTATTTTTAAAATCTGTGGACACATTGTTAAATTCGTCACTGTCACCATACAAATCCTTAACATTACAGTGGTGTACAGCTGATGTTCTTGCAGTGACCGCTTTTGTGATTGTAAATTATTCATCACATTCTAAAAATAAACAAATGTATAATTTGGGAAAAATGCTGTGCAACATGTTAAAATTGTCGGCAGGGATAGGTACCATCTCCCATTCACTGTATTTAGCATTCTATTACTACAGGACAGGTAGATACAATAAAGCACTTGGTGTTTCTAATCTGATGAAACGAAGACTTTCAGAACACTTTATTTTGTATAACACCAAACCAGTAGACAGAAACAGATATAGTGAAGAAATAAGTAATTTGTCTTTGTCTAGAAAAATGAAAGCCGCCTGGGTTGTGGATATTAAGTACAGCTCCGTGTAAAAATCATGCAAAATAGGCAAAAGGTGATATATGAGGGTTCTCAGAAATTGATGATTTTCCACACATAGATTTCCCTTGCACTATGAACCATGTATGTAAAATAAAAAATGTTTTGATTCATGGTTACTATGGAAACGAGGGTAAAGAAATTTCCTTAGCAACCAGCCAATTTTCAGCTTGGATGGACGAAAAAATTCCTTATCTTTGGGGTACTAATTAAATGTAATTAATAGAGAAATTTCTTTTTTATTGCTTTTATTCTTAAGATAAACATCTTAAGTGCTTTCACAATAAAAAACATAGAAATAAGATTTAAGATATTTGTATGATAGATATGGGTATATATACATGTTTTCCCTTTTTTGCTGACTCAGCAATTTCCTTGATTTTGGAATTTTTCGGTGTCGAATTACTCAAATGATGGACCTGATACAGACATCGTGTGTATAAAATGTAAAAGCAGAGGACTTGTTCTTTTAGAATTTGAATTCAGAAGCGTATAATTTTTTTAACTTCCTATCCGTTGCCTAGCAACAAAAATGGATGTTTTTATGAATAAAAAGAGACAATATGTAAAATCCCGAAAACATACACCACATAACTTTTTATTTTTAAATTCTGAAAACAAATTTTACAAGAAATTAAATTTTTGAGATTTTTCTGCAAATAAGGGATAATTTTACAATTTCATATCTCCAAGGTAACAGGATTTTCTCCTTAGCAACACATCATAGAACGATAATTTTAGCACATTCATGCACAATTGTTAAAGATTCTTCAATCATCTTTTAAAAAATGAATCAGGCAGATTTAAAGAAAGCAATTAGCATCTTATTCAATTCTTTTTATTACTGGATAATCCCATGGCAACGATTTTGAGCACATAGCAACCAATATAATCTATATCAGGCACGTAGCATCGTTTTTGAAAGTGGGGGGCCAACCAGAGAAAAATTTTTTTTACTCACCTGGAAAAGTTGACAAGCAAAAAAAAAAAATGATTTTAATAAAAAAACGAAACTTAAAAGTTGCCCAAACCCGAAAATCCTATTTCGTGGAGGGGGGGGGGGGTAGTAGCCAACTTACTATCACTTCCAATTTTTCTCCCTACAATCCTTGATATCACTATACTGTGGTATAAAGTGGGGGAGCCAACCATCCTTTCAATGAACATTTACTATAGTAAAGGTAATGTTGGGAAAAAAACTGCCCCCCCCCCGGTTGCTACGTCCCTGTATATAAAAGAACTTCATCAGTTTTGGTATACAGAATCTAGTTCACGGAACATTGGCATTTAAATGATTGCCGGTACAAAATATATACACATGTAAATGAATATATTATGCAATCAAGTTTTAAAAACCCTAACCAAAAAGATTGCCATGGAAACAGGTGTAAATATTCATGCGTTTCAAGAATTTTGACTGACTTTAAATTGTTTAACCTGTGTTGAGTTCTTCACAACTTGGCCAAGATTAAAAAAAATATGTCAGTCATCTTGTACTTGACACGTACAATTGTAAAAGATCCTTCTATCCTATTGTTTTAAAATTTAATCAGGCATATATGAAAATTCAATTAGCCTATTTTAATTCTTTTTTTACTTGTTTAACCCATAGCAACAATTCTGAGCACACAAAAGCCAAAATATTCAGTACTCTACGAAAATTTGAGAATCATACTAACTTTGTGAACATTTCAATAATATTGGTACACAGAATCAAGATTAGGAGACATTCATGATTGACATGTTAAATATTTGCTGGTAGAAAATATGTATCAAATTATAAATTAAATCAAAACTAAGAATGTTACCATGGTAATGGGTATAAACATTTTTGTTTATATCATTTGTTGATCGGCAATTTATTAAAAAAATGAATTCAAAATTTTTATTAGCTCACCTGAGCCGAAGAACTTACTCAGGTTAGCGATGTGGCCCTTGGGCCTCTTGTTAAAATATTTTATAACCTAAATGTTGTTGTTAAAAATATACTTCATTAGAACGATGATAAAAGATTAATTAAGTCAAAAACCTAGAAAATGCCTTGACAAGGTTCATATAGTTATATCATAGTGCGATTTTTTGTTGTCATAGCCAACTAAACAGTACGTGATAGTGAGATTGCAATCTAAGATCTATTGATCCAACATACATGTATATGATTTTAAACAATTAAAACTTTTAAAAGTATTCAATTTATCCATTCATTTTAATTGTCAAAGACATAAGATCTTGTTCTGAGGTATATAGTAATTGATTAATAGATAATGTTATAGATAAAAACATCCCGCTAAAAGTTTACATTTTTGGTAAACAGCATTTTTACTTTAGTCATAGGTCTTTTCAAGATCGTTTTGTTTATTAAGACCTCCCCCTTTTCCAACTTCCGACACTAACTTACATTTTGCTTATAATTTAGATTTTAGTTCTGTAAAATAAGTTTGTTCATAAAAAGGAAATGGACCAGATACGAATTCTGATTTTTTCTTTTAGTGAACTTACCAAAATGACCATGGGTGAAGGACATGACACACCCTACCGTCATAAACAATATTTGTATGAAGTATACATGTACCTGATTCAAGTTTATTCATAAGAAAAATATGGACTGGACACAAATTCAAACTTTACCTTGAACTTACACAAACGACCTTAAGTCAAGAAAATAACACACCCTCAGGTCATAGCAATCTTTATTCAAAATGGGAACTCCCCAACTTTATCCATGAGAAAGATATGGACACGAATTATGACATTTTTCTTACAGTGACCTTGAAGTTGCCCAAATGACCCTGAATCAAGATCGTGACACAATCTATGGTCATGAACAATCTTTGCGTGAAGTAGTAATTTCTAATGCCCTTCTGTGAAGAAGATATGGACTGGACACGTTTGCACAGATGGACATGATTCTTATGTACTTTTCCCAAACTTTGATTGCTATTGGAGGGGAGGGGGGTTAATAAAGTAAGAAAGAATTCATTATAATATCTATATATATATACAATGAATCTTGCATCACGGTATTCCCTGATAGGCGTTATATTTCCTGTTAGATAGCATTGGAGGGAAGGGGAGGGGGGGTTGCTAACATCCATTATTACAGTGGCCAATAAACCAAAAAAAAAAAATCATTGAGGTAAAACAAGTTCTTCCTTGTTTTTAAATAACAAACACCCATACAAAGAATCACCCCACAGACACTTCAAGTCCATAGCGACAGTTTTTCAATGGGACAACCTCCGAACTAAATTGACCAAAAAATTAAATAAAATACATGAAACAAAACAAAAACAAACCTGTGCATCGCACTCTAACATTCTTTTTTGGGAGAAGGGGGGGGGGGTCTATAACTTTTTGGCACTGTTTTCTTTTAAATACCTGAATTTGCATATGTTTACCTTACGGCAACAACAGGGGCGCGCCTTCCAATCATTATTATGTTTCCCAAACGGAGTTTGGGAACATATTGTTTTTACTCGGTTTCTTATTATTATTATGTTCCCCAAACGAAGTTTGGGAACATATTGTTTTTACTCTGTTTCTTATTATGTTCCCCAAACGAAGTTTGGGAACATATTGTTTTTACTCTGTTTCTTATTATTATTATTATTATTCTTTTTTCTTCTTATTTCTTCTCCGGTACTTTTTTGTCCGCGAGTGTTCTCAGAAACTGTTCACCCAACTGAGCTAAAACCTTTTTAGGGTTAATAGGTGTGTTGTGTAGGTGTGCGGAACGAAGGTCATTTTGCGCGCATACGCCTGCACGTGCGGGCGCGTGAAATGACTGAAATGACTAATATATTTAATATAGCCATAACTTTAACATTTTCCGATGAAATGCTTTGAAACTCATTATATAAGGATATATTAATAGTGTAGATAATGTGACACTGTCAAATTAGCAAGAACTCACGCGCATTTACGTGCGCTTCGCTCTGATTGGCTGAAACAAAAATCTCAATATCTTTTCCGTTTTTTGACGAAATGGTATGAAATTTAAAATATAAGCATACTTTAAGATGTCCTACAACATGATGTATAACATTTGTCATGAAAGCATGCGCATGCACGTGCGCTGCAATCTGATTGGCTTAAACTTCAAATGGCTGTAACTCCCTTGTTTTTCAACCAACCACGATAAGATTTAGAACATAGACAGACACAATAGACTCCTATAAGAAGTTACGGTCATCATGCACATGCATGCACGCGCATGCACGTGCGCTTTGCTCTGATTAGCTGAAACAAAAATCTCAATATCTTACTTGTTTTTTGACAAAATACTTTGAATTTTAAAACATAATCATACCTTAATACGTCCTAAACTATGATATATAAAAGTTTTCAAGAAACCACGCCCATGCACGTGTGCTGCGATCTGATTGGCTTAAACTTTAAATGCCTATAACTTTTTTGATTCTCAACAAAACAGGATGAAATTTAGAATATGAATAGATATGACGGATTCTTACATTATGCTACTATCAAACTTGAATGCAAGGACTTGCATGCACGTGTGCGCGCGCAATGCATTAAATGACCGATTTACTTGATATAGTCGTAATTTTTTTTGTGAAACGTTTCAAAATTCAAAGAATAGAAACACATTAAAAGTGTAGTCACGATGATATAGCTTTCATGCATTGCACCTTCGCGCGCGTGCAATGATCAAATGACTTGTATACTTGATATGGCCGTTACTTTTATATTTCTTTATGAAATGCTTTGATGACCTTGACCTTTGACCTTGACCTTTGACCCCTTGACCCAAAGGTCACAATCCAGCTCAAGTTCGTAGATGTATTTACAAACTCACTTTAACAAATGCTTAGAATAAAAAAGTCAAACCCCCCCCCCCTTCTCCTTAAATAAAAAAAAAATCAATAACAACGTAGAAAATTTCTCTGAAACTCGATCAACACCTGGGATCGACATAAAATTTCACTTAAGGTG